AACACACATATGCACCGAAAGAAAAAAAAAAAAAAAAAAAAAAAAAAGCAAGCGTGGCGTTTTGTGCTCATTTCCTGTCCCTGCCCTGGGATGGGCAGGAATCCTGAGAGGTCGGGGCTGCACAACCCCCACCGGCTCAGTATTGGCATCGGCCAGTGGTGACACTGTGTCTGCAGACGGCTCCGGTAATCTCCAGAGCAGCTCTTCCTCACACTTGTAACGATCTGCAGATTATGATACAGGAAACTGCTTTGCAAAGCTTGCTGGTTTTGGGCAGGAGCTCTTAATTTTGTGACAAAGACGAACGAGTCTTTAGGGAACAGTAAATTCACTTGTCTGGGGATGTTAAAGGGCAGGTGACCTCTTCCATGGCTGCAGCCCCTGGAAAACAAAAAAGGTTCTTTCTGTCGTGCTACAAACAGGTTCATTCTTGGTCTTTCTTTGAATCACACTGCAAAGGAAATGTTAGACTAACAAGTCCTTAGGGTATTTTTATTACATAGGCATCCTCTATTACTCATAAGTTCCTTTTGCTATCTCAGTGGACATTTAACACCTATTATTAAAGTATTGGGATAGTCTTTCATTTCAGATACTGTGCAATAATTTAATCAGACACCAATATAAATTATAGCCGAATTTGCTTCTCTTCCTATTTAATATCTCAAATGAAAACATTTTTGCATATAAGAAGAGAAGATCTTAAGGGCAAGATAATTCTATGACACTGGGAGGTGCAGCTCCTGCTTTTGAAAGAGAAAGGAAAGCAATGTATTTAAAGAACTACATCAGCCAAAATAGATCAATGCACAGAAGTCTGAAAGCAGAACATTTCAGCAGAGTATTCCAATTTAAATTTTCAGAAATGGTCTATTCTCATTTTCTTTTCTTGATTTATTTTCTGAGAAAGAATCCTGTTACTACTTGTAAGATATTGACTGACTGGGAATATTAGGATTTACCTGAAAAAAGAATACATTGGACTGAAGTTAAGCAAAGCATAAAATGTTCTACTATTTTAAAGTTAAAAAGTCAATATCCTATTTGAGTTTTGAGGCAGGTTGGCTGCACTGTGAGGCAAACTAAACTGTCAGATCTGAACACCTGCAAAGAAGATTTGGAGTCAGCCAGCGGCCGAGCCTCTCTTTGTTAAGGGGTACAAACAATAGCAGCAGCAATGTCCCTTGGTCTCAGCGATGTCCCCTGGTCCCAGTGCAAGCCATTTAGGACAATGCCCTTTGTTAAAGCGATTGTTCAAGGGACACCAAATGACTCTGTCAAGCTTTGGTTATTGAGTTGAATGAAATAAATGTTTTCCTGGCATTTTCATTTACCTTGTCCCTTACAAAGGAGGCAATAGGTATTGTGGTAGTGGGAAGGGGAGTGATAATTAAATTAACTCTTGCTACTCTGTATGCTGAGAGTAGGTAGCTGCAAGTGTGACTGGATAATTGTGGTAGGATACTTCTCCTGGTGAAGTTATAATTAAATTTCCCACTGATTTCCTTGAAGGGAGCAGGAGCATGCCTTGTGCAAGGGATTTCTTGAATAGTGATTTTCAGCTCACATCCCATCTAATTGCTTCTCATGATGATAATAGAATAGAAATGGCCTATAACAAGAAAGTGCTTCACTCCCAGCAGTAAAGAACATGATGTAACAGGAAAAAATATCCTTTAACTTGCCTCTGTCTTAAAGGAGATATCAATGCACAGCTATTGGTAATAAATGAGTGCCAAATGTATTTTTAAACACTCCATAATGTTGTATGGAACTTGTTTATTTAAAAGTAAATAAAAGCATAATCTGAGAACTTTCTCCAGCTATCATTATGAACAAAGTGAATCAGTTCCTTCAAGGATGCATCCGTGGTTATATTTCCCATATATTAACATTTCAGATACTAACCTTTTATTTCTGTCTTCCCTCCGCAGATACAGGCAGTCCGTTTGTAGAGATGCACAGTGACATACCTAAAATAATACACATGACCGTGGGAAGAGAAATGATCATTCCATGCAGAGTCACAGCACCGAACATTGCTGTTACTTTGAAAAAGGTACCTTAAGCCAAGTATACTCTGAAAGGGCCGTATTTTTAAAAAGGACTGCTGCATAGTTCTGTTGTTTACAACTCAGTTTAATGCTTTTGAAATATTTCAACAACTGAGCAGTTTTTAAATTGAAATTCTAGGTGTCAGTGTGCAACTGTTAGGGGTGGGGAGGTTGGTCTGATATCTGAGAGAAGAGCCCCATCAGAACTGTACCTTGAATGTCTCGCACCACTTTATTAAAGTTTTGCTGAGAAAGATTTCTTAAGCTTCAGAAGGGATTTTCTTTTTAGGAAATGAGATGTGCTCCCACCTTTCTCACAACCCTTCCTTCCCTTTCCTCTTTTCCTGTTCTTTAGAAGTAAGAAAGTGCAGGGCCTGGAGATCTTCCGGGATGGTACAAGACATTTCTTCAAACCTTTATCCTACCTCAGTCCAACCAGCAGCTCTGCTGTTTCCTTTTCTGTACGAGTGCACTGATCATCAGGCTGTGGTGGCTTCTCTTTTCTCTTTTGGGCAGTTTTAGAAATTCTAGATGCTTTCATGTGGGAAACCATTTCCTTCTTTTCCATATATATAATTCGCAAGGGACCTAATTGACATATATGTACATATTAAAGTCTTGGGTGTAGGGCATTTGGCTTCTTTCTTAAAGCTCTTTTTATTTGGCTCAAAAATTAGGTAAAAGTACCAGTCACTGTTTCAAAATAAAGCAAGTTCTGCATATAACAGCGTAAGTGTTTAGCATTGTTACTAGAAAGAGAAATTTGTCTTTCTATAGAATAACAGGCAACAGACAGGCAATGTCACTATAAAATGCTTATCTAGATCAGTACAAGTCTTTGATACTTCTTTGATTACAGAGATATATGCCAGCCAAAGTTTCAATCGTGTGTTTTAATGAGACTTAGAATTTTACAAATTTTATATGGTGCTGCTTGCTGATATTGGTACTGGTTTTGCCTCTTGGTTTCCAACTGTTAACTCACATGAATGAAATCTAAATGCAGGCAAAATTATAACCTAGAATGTTTATATATGTGTGCATGCACACACACAGAGCTTTCCATTAATATATGGACCTACAGGCAGATGGTGTCAAAGATTCTGTGACTATAGAAACAAAAGTAAGTGAGGTTTGGATTACATTTTATATAGTATATATTGCAAAGTGGGATCTTATTTGGGTATTGCAGTGTTAAAAATCTCTAAAATGCCTCTGAAATCTCAGCACATTAAACTCCTGAGAAAATTCTTGTCAGACTTCATTCTTAATAAACATAATAAAATTCTCCTCCTTATTTGGAGGAGGTTGTGTCATATCTGCTCTCTTTTTTTATATCAGTTTGCATTCAGGTTGGGGATAGGGTGTAAATACATGTGTCTTTATACCATCAAAAACAGATGTAATGCTTTGGGAAGGAGAAAGAGAAGGTGGAGACAATGCTTAACAGAAAGGATTGGTTGCTTATATGCTTTGCCTTCCAGGAAAAATAAATGTGTTCCCTAATCCATCCCAGAATTACCTGAAGTATCTAAACTACAATGCATTATATCATATCTTACTTTATTTATCAAGCTGTGACATCCATGTATGAAGATTCCAGCATTTTTTTTTGCTCACTGATCAACTAAGAGATGTGTTAAATGCGTTTCACAGCTGCAGGCACACTACTTGTGGAGAATTGGCAAAAAACTATCCCATGTTTTCCATTTAGCAATAAAGGAAGAAGTCAGTGCCCCCATAATGCAATCTCAAGCTGGAAAACCACCCCCAGCAATAGAGTCATTAGATTCCTCGTTTGGTGTTGCCAGGAAGTCAAAATATGGAATAATTTGTGTAATCTCTCCCTTCTGAAAGAGCTCATTTGCTAAAGTCACGTGAACACCGCCTACAGTATTTTGTTCCCATGTAGTGCTACTTTATACTTTTAGTGGATCAGTATCAGGAAGGTTTATTTTCCATGTTCAACACTACAGATTTTATGACTAAAACAGAATCTTTAGTTTAGTCAGTCCTTTTGCGATATTGTGTTGTTCTGACTGAATGTCTGTAGAAACTACACTGTAGAGAACACCAATCCATTGAAATGCTTCATCCAGACAGATATCCAGACCCCTTAAAATGGTCATTTTTACTAACGTTTTTTTTGGCAACCTCATTTTCAATCCCTAAAATAAGATAGAATTTATCATGACCGAAGTATGCACTTCCCTTTCTTCTTCCTCTGCTTTTGTCTTGCCCACCTGTGAAAGCCTCACCTTGTGATCTGATGGTTTGGTCCCTTTATTTGCTCTTCTTTCAGCTTCTCTGCCAAAAATCAACACTGACCTTCTCAGGAATAGAGGCAAATAAGGCAAAGGTCTGAATTCTTAATAGTGCCACACTATCCTTCTCAAACTGATGGAAGGGGACGTATGAAAAAAAGACAAGCATACAAAACTCTGTGTTTTGTAAAATGTTTTTGTATGTTTGTTTTTCTACAATAAATTCATTTTTACAATACTTTCAGCTGGTTTTTGCATACAATCTCTCTTTGGAGATGTGGGAAACCATATCTTGGCTATATACTGTTGACTATATATGTATTTTTTCAAAACCTTATGATAGCACTATCTTAATGTCCCTTGGTTAAAATGTTCTAGGGTGGCCCGAAGATAGGCTCTGTCTGCTTAGGGCAGAGCAAAGAAATTATGCTTTTCTAAGAGTGGGAGACAGACCACCTGAACCAGTGGGACTGGCAGATGAGAGGAGCCTGAAGCAGGACCAAGATGACAAGGAAAAACAAATAAGCAAAGAAGTTTGAGCTGTGACGGGTCCTAGGGAGCCTAGGGAGCTTTGAGAGAAAATCCTGATATTTCTACTCCATGAAAGGGGCTTGTTACAGTATCTTGGTCTTTCTTCCACTCATGTAAACAGAGACTAACCATGTCACACGGTGTCTTTTGCTAGTCACAGACCTCAGCTTTCCAAAGTTTTCCTTAGCAGTAACCAATGTGTCCCTTTCTGCTTTTGTGTGCATCATCATGCACACCTCCAGAAGTGTCAGGTGGGTGAATTTTGCATGTAAGGATTTGCCTCCAGGACAGAAGGATCTATTGGATGAAGAGACAACTGATCATATTTCAGCGCTTTAATAGATCATCTTTGTAAGCACTTTATTTCAAAGATCCAAACACTTCTTGGGTATTCTTGTTACTTTCCCATTTCTGAGGCTTGGGTAACACAAATTCTGTAACTGGTCGATGAACCAATGAATGTGAAGTGAGTGTCTTCCTTTGAAATGTCAGTCTATGGAGGATCTGATTTGACTTGCTCTTTGTGGTGTACCTGAAAACCCATAGAGGTTTTCCATCACTGCTGAAACAGTTTGGTTTCTACCAAAGCAGCAGAGGATAAATCCATCTGAAAGTCTAGAAAGCGTAACTGTGAACGAGCTAAACAAACCACAGATATTTGCTTTATTTAGAAACAGGAATGGCAACAGCGCTCTTAACGTCCAAGGCACTGTTGAATGGTAGCCAGCCAGCTATAGTGCAATGGGCTATTTCTTGTGTGTGTGTAACACACACCTCCCCTGTGATTTACATGCTTATTATAGCTTCTTATCAGCTGTTGTAAAGATAAGGAATTCTCCTGCACCACTTTTGTGCTCACTGTAATCATAGTCCATTTGATTCGTCGTGTGTTTCTGTTGGAGGAAATGGCATGGGATGAGCGGGGGTGGTCTCAAGGGCAGCTCCCACATGTGCGGTGCCGGCAGTGCGGAGGATGCCGTGTTTGCGAGAGGTGTGCCATGCAGGAAGGTGCTGGGCGGTCGCGCTTCCCCCAGCCGCTGGCAAACACCCATCAGAGCCTGCCGGTAGGAAGGAGTGGGCTGGCCAGCATACGAGCTCAAAGAAAAGGGAAGAAAAGGATGAAGGCTTCATAGTGAGACTGGGAGCACACAGAGAGAGGCAATGGTTCAAGAGGGCTAGCTGACCTAGGCATGGAAGTGAGTACAAATGCCAGGGCACTGCTTAGGGCACTAATTTAACAAAACTCAGCTGTACGCAGTCTTAAAACATATGCTGCTTTCATTATATATAGATATATATATTTCTTTTTTTCACAAAAGCAGAGTCACAGCCAGGCTCTATAATCATGGTTTTTGCTTGAACTCCACGCCCTTCTAGCAGCAGTATTTGTTATGTCAATAAGGCTGCATAATGACAAAAGAAGGTTGACGTACAAACAAGAGGTGTTCCTTAACCTCAATGCATGTGTCATGCTTTGCCTTTTCAAGTTCTTTAGTATAATATTAAAATAGGCTTAAAATCCAAAGGATGCTGGCATAGATTATTACTCGTACTGCAGGCAAGGGGAATGATTGAGCTCATATGGCAATATTTTAATCTGTGTTGGGTTTCAGATGTTAAGTTTTAGAAATATCTCACAGCTTTATGTTGTTGGGTCCTCAACTTCAGAGGAAAGTAGAAGTGCCTATTTTAAAATGTACTGAGCACTTTCCCTCTGCAAATGTGATGTATAAAAAGTATTTCAAGGAATCTGTTCAAAGACTTTAGTCAGTGTAACTTTCTTCATTCAGGTTCTCAATAAAAACGCCCAAAGAACTCTTGTGGATTAATCATTTGTACTTTACATCAAATACAATGGCTTTAAGATGTTTGTGCACTGTGACTTGTCAGCTTTAGAATAAGTGTTCCTTTCCTTTCCTTTCCTTTCCTTTCCTTTCCTTTCCTTTCCTTTCCTTTCCTTTCCTTTCCTTTCCTTTCCTTTCCTTTCCTTTCCTTTCCTTTCCTTTCCTTTCCTTTCCTTCCCATAAATATTTATTTATTTTTATCAGACTAGTTCTTCAGACCACTAAAACAAGAGAAGCATCAAGTTTAATCTGGGCAGGAATTGTTAAAGGCACAAAATGATGTCAAATTGAGTCCATTTGTCACCTCCATTGAAAAATGTGTATTTGTTTCTCAGGATACTTAATTGCAAAGGTTTTCTGAGACAAGCATTTTAGCTGCCAACTGGAAGCTAAGAGGAATAGCAGCCTAAGCACTGAGACTAATGATAGTGTCAATCTATTGTGTCATAAATTACATCCTGCTATAAATAATGAAATCTTGGAAACAAATAAAACATTCATATTCTTCACCCAAGTTTTTATTCTCTTTTGTGATAAAAATGTGACTTGACAAATCTGCGTAATTAAATGTGATCCTTTCCACTTTGACTGGCTTTTTTTTCGATTCTTTTTCATTCCTTTTTTTAGACTGTTTTGTTTAGAGAGGGGCATGAAGTTTATTTATTTATTTATTTTGTTTGTTTACCACTTTCAGATTCCACGAGAAACTCTAATTCCTGATGGCAAGACAATCATCTGGGACAACATGAAAGGTTTCAGGATACCTAAGGCAACGTACAAATTCATAGGGCTCCTGAGCTGTGAGACAACTCTTGGGGGACACAAGTATAGTACGAAGTATCTAACACACCGAGAAAGTGAGTAGCATTCTCCAGTCCCTGACAATCAGAAAGGACCCTGCTAGGGTGAAGATACTCATTTTTCTTTCTCTTCATGACATCCAGCCAACACAATTTTTGATGTCCAGTTAAGCACCCCGCGACTTGTCAAGTTGCTCAAAGGAGACAGCCTGGTGATTAATTGCACTGTCACTGCAGCCTGGAACACGAGAGTGCAGATGACGTGGACTTATCCTGGAGAGGTGAGTGCTGGGATTGAAATGAAGAAATCCTGGGAGGGTTTCCTGTCCATTGTGCTCTTGAGCACCCCAGGAGGAATTTTTCCTCAAAATACTTGCCATGGCTTGCATTCCACAGTTGTGACCCTTGCTGCCATGTCGTTTTATGTCTTCTTTTCTTTTTTTGTGTGCTTAATTGAACAAGTAAACACGTTTACACAATGTATTCTGGTATACTGAATAATTGCAAGTGAACCCTAGGCTTGATTCATCCTTGGGAGTTTCTTTGACACCCAGTGAAACAATAGGGAATTTATCACCCAGGTCCAGGCAGGAGCTCTCTCTTGTGACAAAAAGAAGTTTTCAGCAAAGCTGTCTTTCTCAACACATTCATCTGAAAGACTGGCAGACAGTCAGGCACCCATCTCAAGCATGTTTAGAAAAGATATTTTGGTTTAGCTAGCCAAAATCTCATTTGTTAAGTGTCACATGAACAGTCCTCTTGTTTTGACAACTACAGGAATGATCTTGAATGTGCTTCTCCTCCCCTCACATTGGGAGCATCCTCATAAATATTTGTCACTTACAGAATAACTGCCAGAGAGTCCATGTAAAGCTGATAAGAAATTTGACATTAGTTTAGGGTTTACAACTCCCATTCCTTTCATGTCAGCTTGATTTATGCTGGTGATTCAAGTCAAGATCGTTTATTATGTCACTCATTGTGCCTAATCACAAGCTAAAATTTTGATTACATTATATAGGAAAGATTAATTCAATCACTTCTTTCATACTGTAACCATTTTCCCTGGCATTTTTCTCACATCAGAAATAAACAACTTAGCAACAAGAAATGCTCCAAATATATTTTGTCGTTATTGCCTTACCAAGCCCACACTTGTGAAACTCTGCTTTGTTTTTATTTGGATGGCAACTGAAGGGTGCTCAATGTTTATAACATAACAACAATGTCCTGGGTTAAATAAACTTTGAGGCCAAAGGCTGAGGGGGAGTTGCAGGAAATAACTCCTCAGGCTCACATTATCTTCAGTTCCACCCTGCTATGCTCCTGCCAAATCTAGTCACTTTTCCGTCCGTAGTGTTTCCAGAATTCTCCCCTTCTTGTGTTAATGCACTCATCTTCTACATGTCTGCTGTCTACGGACACTGAATCCAAGCACCAAACTACGTATTTCCCTGGACATGGTGGCTCTGGGGTTTCCTGAGGGATGCTGAAGCTGGAGGAATGGGGCAGCTGGGCTTGCTGGTGTGACAGGCCATTTGGAAGGGATGATCTTTATCTGGGAAGAACTAGTTGGATACCATTCCATCTTGGATTAAAGTAAGAATGAATTGCCCTATATAACATTAGTTTTTATTGTTGGTTGACCCTTTGGAAATGTTAGACTTCTTTTGCATGTCTGCACTGCACAGCAAGACCTGAACTTTTTTAAGGGTTGGAAGCAGTAGAGGAAAACACATGTCCTAATGATCATGATAGCCAATTTGACTGAACTCTTTCTTGTTTGTTTTTATAGGCAAGGAAGAGAGGTTCTATAACCCAGCGTATTGACCAGAAGAATACAGAAGCCAATAGTTTCTATAGTATTCTCATTGTCGAAAGGGTGCGTGATATTGATAGAGGCCAGTATACCTGCCACGTGAAGAGTGGGCCATCAATCAAATCTGTTAACACAACAGTCCTTGTTTATGGTAAGAAATACTTTGTATTTGTACTATTTGTAGACGCAAAATTCAGTCAGACAGTATTTTTATATCTTGACACAAATTGGAAGTGGATTTATAGCGCGCTAGTCTTGGTAGAAGAAGGTGAGAGACTACAGAGAATATGTGCCTTTTTTTCATGATTGCTTTTTCTTGTTGGCACTCCACTTGTTAATGAACAGTTGGATCACTTCTGTCTGCCAAGTACTGTGATGACCCTGTACTCAGTTCTGGCAGAAGCAATAAGTTAAACCACATTTCCCAAATAAATATACACAAGGTTAATTTAAATGTAAGAATCTCAGCTTTTCTTCTGCAGGCTTTATTCCCTATCTTGAATAATCACATTTTTTTGAAGGAGCAGATGCACGAACATTCCTCTTTGTTCATTCCTTATTGTCCCATATGAAACATGGAGACATAGATGCACAACTCTACATGGAGTTCATACCTCCTACACTGTTAAAAAATGGAAACAATCACAAGATATTGCAACTCACTATGGTGATTTTACCGCAGGAGGCTTAAAATAGTTCCCTGCAGTCTGCTTGGGCTTCTGTATCTGGAAATCCATAAGATCTAGAGATTTCTGGCATTATTTCAAGCTTATTGCATTGGCTCTCTATGAGAAACCATGTCCTTTGTGGCATCCTGCTGCAATTAGGATGATTCAGGATCCTCGGAGCTTCATTGGTGTTAATGACAAAAAGGAGTTTGTAGGTGACAGATGGCTCACAGTCAGAATATTGATTTTTTTTCCAGGTGTTTGGTGAATTTTGCCATCTTTCTCTCATCTGAAAGTGTGGGCTAAGCACCAGCTGATAGTATTTGCTAAGGAGACTTTCAGTTAATTTGCTATATTCTAATCTTCTAAGTCACTTAGAGCGCAGGACGAATCTGATATTCACTTCTTATAATTTCCAATAAATAAGCTTGAAGCCATCAGAACCAGATGTTAAAATTAAATTTACAATCAAAGTTACCTGTAAAATTTTATTCACATGATCGCAACAATCTATGAGATACCCATAGATACATAAGAGAGACTCTTATGTGAATAAAGGTTTTCAGCATCAGGGTTGTAAATGGTGTAAATGACTCGTGGAATTAAACTGATGAGCTGTCTTGTGCATGCTATTTTCAATATATGCCAAAATTCAATTAAATATTGCACTTATTTAATGGATATCAAAAATCCATATGCAGTCCATAATACAATTAAATATTGCGCTCTAGGTACTGTGAAAGGACACCCAAACAAATTTTTGTCTTTTGAGTGTTTTTACTTTCTGCAAGTGCTTTCCAGAAAAAAAAAAAAAAGAAGGAGGTTTTCCAATGTATTGTACAAATATTATGTTGTATTGCCTCTAATGAAATCAGACAACTTGCCAGCGAGTTTGAAATATGGGGCAGTACAACTGGAAAAAGAACGAATTCCCACAGGTTGAGATTGTTGCAATGAAGTGATGAAGATTTGTTTGTTTGAAACAGCTGTTCACCAATGATACAGAAAAAATCTCCTTTTTTTTCACTGTTTCTCTGAAGACAACTCAAATCCCCTTGGGCAGGATACTTTCTTTTGAAACGTTCATTGATTCTTGGCTTTTAAGGGGAAAAGGGTTCTCTGTTCACCTAGTTCAGCTTCCCACATACTACATACCAGCTTAGCTCAAGTATGCGCATTTGCATTGAAACTGGTGCCTTTTTTTTGACCCAAACAAGCTTTGTATAGAGTGTATCTTCTGTGGACAGGTGTATGGCCTGGGAGCTCTGTCTTGTCCATTTGTGGTGAACTTTTACAGTTGATAGATCTCTAGGAATTTCAGTTATATTCTTGCTGTTGTGTGACTACTGGGATTAATAAGGATGTTTAATTAACATTAAATTTTTACTTACATTCCTGTTCTTCTTAGCATTACAATTCGTTTTACAGGCTGGAAATCAATAATATAGATACTCTCTTTTTCTTTTATTTCTTTAAGACAAAATGTTCATTAATTTGAAACATCGAAGAAAAACTGCGCTGGAGGCTGTAGCTGGAAGAAAATCCTATCGTTTGTCAGTGAAAGTGAAGGCATTTCCCTCACCAGAGGTTTTATGGTACGGTAACAGTTACTTCCACATATACTTTCACACAGGACCTCTTCTTAAAAGAAAAATAATACCTTGGTAAACTATTCACTCAGTAAAATTCCTCAACTGACAACAGTTGGCGCTAATGTTGTGTAGTTTTATTGGACCTGTAAGGGTCTTCCTCAGTTTTAACAACTTATGAAAATATTATCTCCATTTTGCAATGGGAAGAGGAATCCCAGATTCTTTAAAGCCCAGATATGTCTCCTCTTGCAATCAGTGAACACTGAATAGATAAATCTCCCAACTGATCTAAAGTGATGCAAATGTCACTCAGACTCAGATATGAGACCTGAGCTTGTATTTTACTCACTGAGTCATAAGAAGGCTTTTCTTAGAGCAACTGAGTAGAATCATACAGCAGTCTACTTTTAGCAAAGCAATGGAAGCTGGCTTTATTATATGGCAATCCACAGGTTTTAGGGACTACAGCTTTCACTTTGGATCAAATAGATTATTTAAGGAATCTTTTAAACAGTTTCGTTTGGTATTAACCCCAGCACCTTTATATAAAACAATGTTATCTATTCATGATCTCAAGGGTGTTTTTTTGTTATTGCTTAAACCATTTTAAATAGCAATAGCTCTTGCTCAATTCATTGAACTTTAACAAAGGGTGTGTGACAAGACTGATTAAGAAAACAAACCATACATGAACAGTGAGAGTTCACATTACTCTCAGCCAGAATTTATTTTTGCTCCAAACACTATGTTTTGTTTTACTATCATCTCCTTTGCATTTACAGCTCCACATGGAAAATTAGATGGAGAAAGTGGAGCTGATGTTCACCACCGATATAGCATTTTCTGTTCCTTTAATGTCTGGGCTTTTTGACTACACATACAGATCCAAAACTTCTGAAATAGAGAAAACTCCATTTAAACATGTTTTGTGTGTTTTTTTTTTGATTTTATATATATATATATATATTTGATATATATATTTTTTTTTCTGTGAGGATCATTAAACACCAGAAACAAACACCCACTCGCCTATAGAGGTTATGGAGTCTCTATTCTACAAGATATTCAAAGCCTGACTCAACACAGCCCTAAGCAATCTGCTGTAGGTGATCCTGCCTTGAACAGGGGTTGGACTAGACAATCTCCAGAGGTGCCTTCCAACCCCAGTCATTCTGTGATTCTTGAAATCCAGATACAGTGTAACATTCTGACAGTGCTTAGACCAAATTTTTAGTGTTCCTGTAAAGACTGTAAGACTTTCCTGTAAATATTTACTAAAATATGGAATCCATTTAATTAAGTCCGTTTTAATAATGAAGAACTCTGTTGCACTCTTCTACTAATATCACTCCAATCTTCACACAGCAACCTACTGACAAGAACTTTGAAAAAAAAATCTGCTTATTCAGGAATCTGTGTGGGAGCAACATCTAGTACTTTCTATGTTGATTTCTGTTATCTTTAAAAACATCCACTTGATAGCAGGATATCTGATTCTTAAATGCTTATCTAATCTACTTACTCTTCCTCTTCCTAAAATCACAGCTGTGCTTAGGCTACTGTAATACTTTGTCCTGGGTTGTATTCTGAGGTCATAAAGAAATAGTTAGTATTAGATGATGCAAATTTTATTTGCACAAATGACTTTTACCCAGAATGGTATTTTCATATTCATAGTCTTTTATAGACTAAATGGAGACATGAGCATGGAAAAATGGAATCTTCAGAGATGAATTTTGATAAACTCTCAAATACTATGGAGTCCTGTCAGATTCCTATCAATTTTAACATGAAAAATAATATCCTTCAAAGTGCTTTATAAATATTAGCAATCTGTGTAAGTGAAGGATAATCTTCTCGTAAACAGAATCTCAAACCATAAACTTGATCCTTTACCAAAGATTGAGAAATTTTATGAAATGGATTGACACAGACTGTTTAAGAAGCAATGTTTTTCAAAATTTTGCTTTTAAACAGGCTAAAAGATGGGCTACCTGCTGCTGAAAAATGTGCCCGGTACATGATAAAAGACTATTCATTAATCATCAAGGATGTTGCTGAAGAAGATGCTGGGAACTACACTATAATATTGAGCATACGGCAGTGGAACTTGTCCAAGAATCTTACTGTCACTCTTAGAGTAAATGGTAAGTTTATAGTATGTTCCCTAAATATGGTAGTTTGTAGTATCTTCCCTCCTAAGTATGTAAATGCTGGATTTTCAGTGAATGTTTGATCTTGCACAGTTCAAGTAATTATGAATTTTCTCACTGATTTTTGTGAACCCCAAACTAGATTCTATGTGTGAAGTGACTAATCCATCTTGGAGTCAGTGGATGGGTACTGGTTTTCATTAGAAGAGTTGCTGTCTTGCATGGTCATATACTTGTTCCTGATGATTTGAATGTGTTAGTAACTGTTCATCTGACTCATTTTAGTACTGCTGTTTTCCCCTATTCTGCTGGGGATTTTTCTTATTTCTCACCCCGCAGGAATGTAGTATTTTCAGGATCATGTATTGCATTGGGAATGAACTGCTTTTAATTTCTTTCCAATTTCAATCTCTTACAGTGAAACCCCAGATATATGAAAATGCTGTGTCATCATTCCCTGATCCCAATCCATATTTACTGGGCAGCAATCAAGTGCTGACATGCACTGTTTATGGTATTCCTCAGCCTAAAATCACATGGATGTGGTATCCCTGTAAACAAAACCATTCTAAAACAAGGTAGGACATATTCATTACTTGTATTTAGTAAGTCTTCCATCACTACACTTA